TGCGGTTGGAGTGGGTCTGGGGATCCTCAAGGGAAAAGCCAGAGGAGAGCAGTGCAGTTTCAAATAGCAGCACCACCAGGTCCTTGACAGCCTTGTCATTTTTGTCGGCCTCAGCCTTCTGCCGCAGTGTCTCCACAATGGGGTGGTCAGGGTTAATCTCCAGGTGTTTTTTGGCCATCATATAGCCCATTGTAGAGTTGTCCCGAAGCGCCTGGGCTTTCATGATCCGCTCCATGTTGGCTGTCCAGCCATAGGTACTGGTCACAATGCAGCAGGGTGAAGACACAAGCCTGTTGGAGATTGTCACCTATCGACAGTGAAACAAACATTAGGTTTCCAGTATATCAATTACCACTTTAAGGTGAAAATGACAGTATTTAGTTCCTACTCTCAGAAGTAGGAACTGGAGGCTGGGTATAGTGGATCACACCCATAAATCAACACTTTCAATGGCCAAACTAGGAGAAGCCCTTGAGCCCAGAAATTGAACACTAGTCTGGGCAATATGGCAAAACCTGATCTTTTTTTTCTTTTTTTGAGACAGAGCCTCAAGATGTTGCCCTGGGTAGAGTGCCATAGCATCATAGCTCATAGCAACCTCCAAACTCCTGGGCTCAAGCAATTCTCCTGCCTTCATCTCCCAGGTAGCTGGGACTACAGGTGCAGGCCACAACACCCAGCTATTTTTTGCAGCCATCATTGTTGTTTGCGGGCCCGGGCTGGATTCAAACCTGCCAGCTCAGGTGTATGTGGCTGGTGCCTTAGCCACTTGAGCCACAGGCGCTGAGCCACAAGACCTGATCTTACTACACTTGAGTAGCTGTAGTAGTTCTATGTATGCAAAAGGCTGAAGCTGGAGAACTGCTTAAATAAAGCAAAGAGCTTTGACTATGCCACTGCTCCCCAACTTGAGTAGAGCAAGATGCTATCTCAAAGGGGGAAGGGGTGATAGCAGTTGCTCACACTAACACTCTTATTAGCACTTTGGGAGGCCAGGGTAAATGATTACTTGAGCTCAGGAGTCTCAGACTAGCCTGAGTAAGAGCAAGATCCCATCTCTATTAAAAATAGGAAAAATAGCTGGGTACTGTGGCAGGTACCTGTAAGTCCCAGCTACTTGGGAAGGCTGAGCCCAGGAGTTTTTGCTGTGAGCTATGATGACATAGCACTCTACCCAAGGTGGCCTGAGAGAGACTGTCTCAATAAAGATAGTAAAATGTACCTTAAGAAACACCTATTATTTGCCAATTTTTTTTTTTTTTTTGAGACAGAGTCTCAAGCTGTCCCTTGGGTAGAGTGCCGTGTCATCACAGCCCACAGCAACCTCCAACTCCTGGGCTCAAGCAAGTCTCCTGCCTCCGCCTCCCAAGTAGCTGGGACCACAGGCGCCCGGCACAACGCCTGGCTATTTTTTGGTTGCAGCCATCATTGTTTGGTGGGCCTGGGCTGCATTCGAACCCGCCACCTTAGGTGTATGTGGCTAGCACCTTAGCCGTATTTGCCAAATTTTATAGAAACAACCATATACAAGGCCAGGCATGGTGGCCCACACCTATAATCCTAACACTGATGGACTGCCTGAGCTCTCAAGTTCCACTAGCCTGAGCCAAGATTGAGATCCCAGCTACTTGGGAGGCTGAGGCAATAACATCACTTGAGCCCAAGAGTTTGATTGCTGTGAGCTATATAATGCCAGGACACTCAACCTCAGGGTGAGTAAGACTTTCTCAAAAACAGACAGACAGACAAAAAAAAAAAACAGGCACCATAGCGCAATGGTTAGGGTGCCATCCACATACTCCCCGGGCCTACTAAACAAACAAAAAAGCTGGGCATCTGGTGGGTGCCTATAGTCCCAGCTACTTGGGAGGCTGGGGCAACTGTATTGCTTGACCCCAAGAGTTTGAGGTTGTTGTGAGGTAAGACACCACAGCACTCTATCAAGGGTGACCAAGGGAGACTGTCTGAAAAAAAAAAAAAAAAAATCACCATAAACCTGGCTAGCAAAAAAACCAGTAAGAAAGAAGACTAAACAGAATATGATGCCTAAAACCCTTGTGTAGCAACATGGGATGATCCTGAGGGAGGCTGTCCCAAAGCATACAGAATACAACCTAGTCACAGAACTGCTTACCTTCTCCACTTTCTTATCCAAGATTTCTTTCATGAGCTTGCAGAGGTTCTCAAACTTTGCCTTGCTCTCTTCCATTTTCTTCTTCTCTTCCTCATCCTCAGGGAGCTCCAGGCCCTCCTTGGTAACCGAGACCAGGCTCTTCCCATCAAACTCCTTCAGCTGCTGCACGCAGTACTCATCAATGGGCTCAGTCATATAAACCACCTCGAAGCCCCGCTTCCGCACTCGCTCCACAAATGCAGAGTTGGCCACCTGCTCTTTGCTCTCACCTAGTGTTATTAAATTCAACTCAGAAACCAAAACGCCTCATACTGCCAGTTCCCAGATAGCCCTGAATGTGACACCCCCCCTTCTCCCGGTGCCCCAAAAGGCTTTAATCAAATCAGACCAAGGCTCTAACACACCAGTGATGTAATAGATGGACTTCTGTGTTTCCTTCATGCGAGAGACATACTCTGACAGAGAAGTCATCTCATCTCCAGATTGGGAGGTATGATAGCGCAGCAGCTCAGACAGGCGACGCCGGTTAGTGGAGTCCTCATGTATTCCAAGCTTTAAGCGGTGGAAGAGAAAAAAACAAACTTAACTAGAAATAACCTAACTCTGTAAAACTCTTCTGTGAAAACTTTATGATAATTAAGTAACACTAAGTATTCGTCTCCTTACCTTCAAATTTTTAGAAAATGCCTCATAGAATTTCTTATAGTTCTCCTTGTCTTCTGCCAACTCAGAAAAGAGCTCAAGGCACTTCTTGACAATATTTTTGCGAATCACTTTCAAGATTTTGCTCTGCTGAAGCATTTCTCGGGAGATGTTCAGGGGCAGATCCTCAGAGTCAACCACACCACGGATAAAGTCTGCCATCAACCAAGGTAGAAAACTCAGTAAAAACAGCTAGGCCACTGCTGGCCACCCAGATACAAACAAAAGGCTCTACTACTCTGGCTCGGCACCTGTAACTCAGCAGCTAAGGCACCAGCCACATACACCAGAGTTGGTGGTTTCAAACCCAGCCTGGGCCCACCAAACAATAACAACTACAATAATAAAAACAAAAAATAACTGGGTATTGTGGCAGGTGCCTGTAGTCCCAGCTACTTGGGAAGCTGAGACAATTAATCACTTAAGACTAAGTGTTTGAGGTTGCTGTCGTGCTGTGACGCCACAGCACTCTGAGGACAACATAGTGACTTTTTTTTTGCGACAAACATTTAGAAGGCTCTGCTACTTCCTGAACCTCCTCTTACTATATTGTGAAGAACTGTTGTAAGTCTCTGGGACACAGACTTCATTGGAATGCTGAAGGCCTAAGATGGAATTCCCCAACTAAATCAGGCAAAAGAGATAACACTTACTGAGATACTCTGGTATCAACTCATCACAACTGTCCATGATGAACACACGACGGACATACAGTTTAATGTTGTTCTTTTTCTTTTTGTTCTCAAAGAGGTCAAAGGGAGCCCGACGAGGGATGAAAAGCAATGCCCTGAATTCCAACTGACCTTCTACAGAAAAGTGCTGAGAAGAAACCCAAGAGAAGCCATTAGTATATTTCAGGATGAGAATACAGCCCCAATACCAAGTTACTTGAAACTGAAATAATTTACCCCTAGCACTCAGGAAGGACTGAGAAGGTATTATAGGTAGCTCTTAAAGACCGCAATTGGATCCCAATCCCCTAAAATCAATCTAGAGTGGTAATGGCTATATAAAATCCTCTGCTAAGAAAACAGCCACTTTTAATCAGAACCCTACTTGTGTAAAGCTGTCATTAACCAGATTTCCACCAGATGAGAAAGTGAGGTAAGGACAGAATTTTTCCACCATGGCAGTCATCAATTAAGTAAACTCACACAGCTACATGGCTTTCATCAGAGTTCTCAGCTGCCAACCAGTTAGGTAAATTCCATACACTTACTACCTGCAACACCCTTCTACCTATTTCACTGAGATAACATAAAAGGCTTTTTACCTTGACTGCCAAGTGGTCTTCCCAGTCATTGGTGAGGCTCTTGTAGAATTCTCCATACTCCTCCTGGGTGATGTCATCAGGGTTTCTGGTCCATATGGGCTTGGTTTTGTTTAATTCTTCCCGATCAATGTATTTTTCCTTAATCTTCTTGGTTTTCTTTTTCT